AAATTTAAATATTGGTAACAAAGCGAAAAGAGATCCGAAAACGTATTGGGATGAACTCCAAAAGCTACGAGATACAGACAGGGGATTTCGTTGGTAACAAAGAAAAAGTCCTGAACTACTACGAGATACAGGTCGGGGAAATTGCGGAAAAATATCTGGGAAGTGTTTTGACAGAGGAGCGGATCCAAGAGGGACAATGAGATCCGAAAACGACAGGAGGATTTCGTTGGTAACAAAGAAAAGAGTCCTGAACTAAAGGTCAGGACACTAAATTCAAAAAGCTAGGTGCGGGCAGAGTTTTGACGAGACAGAAGGATCCGAAGACGTATTGGGATGGCCAATAACAAAAAAGAAAAGAAGATTCCTGAACTAGTCCTGAACGAGATACAGGTCGGGGACATTAAAATCAAGCAGGTGCGGAAATTTAAATATCTGAGAAGTGTTTTGACAGAGGACGGCAAGAGCGACACTGAGATCCGAAGACGTATTGGGATGGCCAAAGACGAATTCCAAAAGCTAGGCAGAGTATTACGAGACAAAAGGATTTCGTTGGTAACAAAGAAAAGAGTCCTGAACTACTACGAGATACAGGTCAGGGACACTAAAATCAAGCAGGGGCGGAAATTTAAATATCTGGGAAGTGTTTTGACAGAGGACGGCAAGAGCGACACTGAGATCCGAAAACGTATTGGGATGGCCAAAGACGAATTCCAAAAGCTAGGCAGAGTATTACGAGACAGGAGGATTTCGTTGGTAACAAAGAAAAGAGTCCTGAACTACTACGAGATACAGGTCGGGGACATTAAAATCAAGCAGGTGCGGAAATTTAAATATCTGAGAAGTGTTTTGACAGAGGACGGCAAGAGCGACACTGAGATCCGAAGACGTATTGGGATGGCCAATGACGCATTCCAAAAGCTAGGCAGAGTATTACGAGACAGGAGGATTTCGTTGGTAACAAAGAAAAGAGTCCTGAACTACTACGAGATACAGGTCAGGGACACTAAAATCAAGCAGGGGCGGAAATTTAAATATCTGAGAAGTGTTTTGACAGAGGACGGCAAGAGCGACACTGAGATCCGAAGACGTATTGGGATGGCCAATGACGCATTCCAAAAGCTAGGCAGAGTATTACGAGACAGAAGGATTTCGTTGGTAACAAAGAAAAGAGTCCTGAACTACTACGAGATACAGGTCGAGGACACTAAAATCAAGCATGTACGGGAAATTTAAATATCTGGGAAGTGTTTTGACAGAGGACGGCAAGAGCGACACTGAGATCCGAAGACGTATTGGGATGGCCAAAGACGAATTCTAAAAGCTAGGCAGAGTATTACGAGACAGGAGGATTTCGTTGGTAACAAAGAAAAAAGTACTAAACTGCTACGTGATTTCTGTCCTCCTTTACAGCAGCGAATGCTAGACGCTCTCCTCAAAGATGAACAAGAAACTCGAGGCAACGAAGATATGGTTCTACAGAAGGATGCTGAGGATACCATAGACCCAGCGCGTGAGCAATGATGAGGTCTTGGAGAGGATGCAAACAACGTGGAAGCTTATACTTAACATCGGGAGCAGGCAGATGAAATTTCTGGGACACGTAATGAGGAAGGAGGGCCTGGAGAATCTGATACTCACAGGTCGAAAAGAGGGAAAGAGAGACAAGGAAAGTAAAGCATGACATACCTGACGGGCTTAAGCAACTGGATGACAGAATGTGATCTGGTGGAGTTGGCAGAGGGACGAAACTTATTGAGAGCCACAATGGATAGGGAAAAGTGGAGAGCCATGATCACCTACAGCCTAATGGGATAAGGCACATAAAAAGAAGTCCAAATTGGATACTCACAGGACAGATTATAGATTTGAAGGACAGAGGAAAGCAACGTATAACTTAAGTAGCCAGCGTGTGTAAATATGTGAAAAAACGATTTTTATGAGAAATACCAAAAAGACAAAATATATTAAGAGCTACAAAGGACAGGAAATTGTGGAGAGCTATGATCACCAACGTCCTGAAGGTGCATGGCACATATAAAAAGGAGCGTTTGTAAATTGATGACAAAAAAGAATTTAGGAGAGATAACAAAAAGGCAACATTTATTAAGAGCTACAAAGGACAGGAAATTGTGGAGAGCCATGATCCCCTACGTCTTGAAAGGACACGGCACATAGAAGACGGAGCTTCTGTCAATGGATGACAGAATGAGGTTTAGGAGAGATAACAAAAAGACAAAATTTATTAAGAACTACAAAGGAGAGGAAATTGTGGAGAGCCATGATCACCAACGTCTTGAAGGAACAGGGCACATAGAAGAAGGAGCTTCCGTAAATGGATGACAGGACGATGTTTAGGTGAGATAACAAAAAGACAAAATTTATTAAGAACTATAAAGAGCAGGAAAATATGGAGAGTCATGATCGATACAAAATGCTAATCATTATCCCAAACCGTCTTGTAAAATCATATTTCCGGATCGATGTGTAAGAAGCTTAATGGGGAAACTGGAATCAGCATGCCAAGTTCAATTCGATTTCTTTGTGTTACTTTACACTAATGCCCTTGGAAAAGATGCGAATCCTCTTCCGTCCAGCTATAGGTTAAATAGCAGGGGAAATTGGACTCATTTGCCTTGAGTGTTTGCCAGTGTAAGAAACAAAAAGGTTTGTTCGGATTTTTATGGCATCCCGTGCACCGTTTCTGATATCGATTCCTTTGTAAAACTAAACGAGTTTTCTATGAGTTGCTATTCTGTCCGTTCAGTTCGGAACTGGACAATAATGCCTTCATACGCCGAAATCGACGGAAGAAACCAAAATATATTGGATAAATTTGCAAGGAGGAAATTTGCGTTCTTAACGAGCTTTCGCTGGGAGACCTGAACACATCCTTCCACCATTTGCAGCCATCTTTAACGGCACACGCCAACATTTATTTGCATCGCATTCTCACAGGCGATGAAAAATACAGGGTGTTTAACAAATGCTGAAACAAAACAGCGGCCTCTCAGACGGGCGGGTCAGGTGCAGCTCGAGGAGTGTGAGGACCTTGATGAGGAGGAACAGTGATTCCAGCAGTATGATGCTCCTCCTCACACTACTGATATTACCATGACATGGTTCCGTGAAAAGATTGAGAAGCGTCTCAACAGCCGCAAAGCTGAAAAAGATTGGGCACCTCACACGCCTGACCTGAACCCCCCAGATTTCTTCATCTGAGGTTTCTTCAAATGCATAAACTCTATTTAAACGCTACAGTATTTACATTAGTCGGACTATTGTCCTCATCTTTGTCGCCATATTTGTCACAACGTTTCGGCCGTTGTACGCTCCGGCCTTCTTCAGGTGGTTGGAATGTCGAACTGAACCCTTTATTTCGATCACTGGGGTAGACAAAGATGAGGACAATAGTCCGAGTAATGTAAATACTGTACATAATAACTAATCTCAGAAATATAGATACTGAAATGCCGAAACGTTGTAATAAATATGGCGACGAAGATGAGGACAATAGTCCGAATAATGTAAATAATGTACATAATACCTCATCTCAGAAATATAGACAGATACTGAAGGGCCGAAACGTTATAATAAATATGGCGACGAAGATGAGGGCAATAGTCCGAATAATGTAAATAATGTACATAATACCTCATCTCAGAAATATAGACAGTATTTAAACGCTATTTGGTAAATATTTAGAAGGAGATAATTTCTCCCAAAGACTGTTTTTCGGGATTCTGATCTTTAGGGATTTTATAATTTAGGGATTCTGATCTTTCGAGATTTTATAATCTAGGGATTCTGATCTTTCGGGGTCTTATAAACTCGGCATTCTGATCTTTCGGGATTTTATAAATTAGAGGTTTCAAATTTCGGGATTTTAAATTTCAGGATTTTGTCATTCAGGGTTTTAAGATTCGGGATTATGATCTGCATCCCTCAAGGGCAACATCTAGCCTCACAACATTGTTGAAGGCGACCATCACTGAGAAAATTCAAGCTATCACCCAGTAAGAATGCGTACGCGTTATCAACAATTTTGCATTTAACAATGCCTTCAACTGAACGGCAGACATTTGGAGCTTGTACTGTAGGGCTTGTCTTAACATTTTTGGTTTAGACTAAATGGTTGCAGATCCTAAAATGTAATCCTTTTACCTTTCAATAAATGTAATTTTCATTATTCAATCATTTGTTGTTCTTGATACGTGACCAATCATTTTTATTCAAAATTGTGAAACACACACAGACATATAAACATATATATATATATATATATATATATATATATATATATATATATATATATATATATATATGCGTGTGTGTGCGTGTGATAGAAATGAGGAGGATTTGGGATAATTATAATTAAGCAATTCATTGGGTCTAGAAGAAACGTCATCAGAATGCAGAAAGCACTGGACGGCCGTTTCGTCCTATATTTGCAACTTCATCAGCAGTGCACATCCACACCGCATTCAACAGTGCCTTCAACTGAAAGGCAGACATCTGGAGACTAAATGTTTGTAGATCGTAAAATGTTATCCTTTTAACTTTCATTACTCTATCATTTGGGGTCCTTGATCTGTGCCCGATCATTTTGTTTTAATAAATGTGACACACCCTGTATATGGCTAAGACCCGCCAATTCAAGCACATTGAAGCGAATCACTTTCATTCTCTTCATATTCCATTGATGAGATGTAAGTTCCAACTCAAGCAGATCTAAGGGCAACGGGTTCCTCACCGGGAGGAATCTGCACGCGTTATCAACAACTTGATGCACACTGCATTCAACAGCGCCTTCAACTGAACGGCAGACATCTGGAGCATGTATTCTAGGGCTCCTCTTGACATTTTTGGCTTATGTTTGAGACTAAATGTTTGCAGATCTTAAAATGTTATCCTTTTACCTTTCAATAATTATAATTTCCATTATTCAATCATTTGGGGTCCTTGATACGTGACCGATCATTTTGTTTCAAAAATTGTGAAACACCTAGAGAGATAGATAGATAGATAGATAGAGAGAGAGAGAGAGAGAGAGAGAGAGACATATGAATAAGGTGAAAAAAGAAAGAAAGAATGGAGAGAAAGAAATAGATAGATAGATAGATCGATAGATAGATATATTTAATCTATAGACGCAATTTGCATTGTTTAATAAATAAAATTCGACGTCGATTTAAATTACAGAGTATCCACTTAATAATATTCGAAATGTTATATGCATATATACATATATGTGTGTGTGTGTGTGTGTGATAGAAATTTGGAGGATTTGGGATGATAATAATTAAGCAATTCATCGAGTCTAGAAGAAACGTCAACAGAGGACCTCCGAGCTACGAATACTATCACCAAGCCGCTCCATCCAGAGCATAAGAAGCCGGTTCAAGCAAGGATTTACAAGTCATAGAAATTATTAGGAGGATTTGAGATAATTATAATTAAGTAATTCATCGAGTCTAGAAGCAACCTCAACAGAATGCAGAAAGCACTGGACGGCCGTTTCGTCCTATATTTGGGACTCATCAGCAGTGCGCATCCACTACCGAGTATTGAAACCCGAACAGTTACGTTACCAGGCAAACGTCATACCAACTGCGGCGCTATATCGAGTCTGATTCGCTACCTCTTCGTTGGAACAGTTGGTATGACGTAACAGTGACTTCACCTGAACGGCGGACATCTGGAGCATGTATTGTAGGTAATCTGTTGATATTTTTGGTTCATATTTGAGACGAAATGGTGGCAGATCGTAAAATGTTATCTTTTTAGCTTTCAATAAATGTAATTTCCATTATTCAATCATTTGGGGCTTTTGATTTGTGCCCGGGCATTTTGTTTCAAAAATTGTGAAAACACCCTGTAGGTTTTGCACGTCGAGAGAAAACGAAAATGGCAGTAATTATCGCAAAATGAGAAAAAAAAAGGAAAAGAGGTTTCATTCAGAGAAGTGCTTGCTTTGTGACTGGTGGAATACGAAATACACCATTCTAAACCTAAGAAAACACAGAAGGGTCATCACAGTAGATATTTGTTGTAGGAAATTTGATCGGCTAAACGAAGCATTACATCGAACGTGACATGCTTTGGAAAACACAAAAAAGGGGGGGGTATTCTTTAGCATTGGAATGCAAAGGTATACTTTAAAAAATAAACCCTGGAGAAAATAAGATCGTTACGATGGGAGATCACATTTCGTGCTCACTAAAATCAGCTTCTACAGATTTTTAATTATTTCCGCAAGTGGTATAATGTTAAGTAATAAAGATGTTGTTTTTTTTTTTTAAATAAGAAACTTTTTACGGAGAAAAAAAAAATGCACAAATATCTTTTATTCGTCGAAACGTAAATTTGCCTTTACGTTGCGCTGCGGTCGTAACGAACGTAATAATATTATTCTAATAAATAATCTTTAAATATTTTTCACTTACATCTCTTTTCGATGTCCTTTCTTTACAAAACCGCCTCCGCACACAGGTGGAGAGCCTAGGATCCATCATGGCTAGCCAACAACTTCGATGGGTGGGAAGCTTACCCGAATGCCAGACACCTGCCTAAACCCCCACCCACCACCAAAATCATCTTTTCAGAGCTCGTATCTGGAAAGGGTGCACGTGGACCCCCACGTTGTCGATTCAAGGATCAGCTCAAAACTTCATTATTGAGTACAGAAATCGATCCGGTCAATTGGGAGACGGAAGCTGCAGAAAAAAAAAAAACCAATTGAAGAAGAGCAGTCCATGAAAAAACAACATCCCCCGAAAACATCAGAAGACAAATCGAAGAGATGAAAAGACATCCCCAAAAAGCCAGAGCTCTCCATCTCGCGGTCAAGGTTTCACGCTCAAATAGAAGAGATAAACAGACCCCCCCCCAAAAAAAAAGCAAGAAATCTCCATCTTCTGAACGCTCCTACCCTACCATGCGTTGGCAGGGGCCGTCTCTTCGAATCTAACGTAGGATTCATCTCAAACAGAAGGAAATGAGCAACACAAAACTCGGCAACGAATTACGCCAACAACGACGACATCAGACGTAAAAAGTTGACAATCGCTACTATGACTAATTTGGTAGAGATTAAAAGATAAAGTTTTAGTAAAATTAATTGATTTGATAGAAGAAATGAAGAAAGACCCCTAAAAAGCCAAAGCTCTTCATCTCCGGAACCCTCCTACCCTATTATGCATTGTCAGCGGACGTCTCTTCGGATCATTTGAAACAGAAGAAAACGAGTTCCGCCAACAATGACGATATCGGACGTAAAATTTGACAAGCACTACTATGAATAATTTGGTTTCGATAAAAAGATATACCGTTAGTGAAATTGATTGATTTATTTTTTTTTTAATAGCTTATCAACCTTTTGCAGCTTATTTAACCCCCCACCCCCCAAAAAAAAGCTCCTTCTATTGTGCCATACGGTAGCTGTGTACGTCTCTTCAGATCCAACATGGAACACATTTCACACAGAAAAAAATGTCGATGAGTTCCGCCAACGACGACGACGACTTTATAAAACGTAATTTTTCTTCGAACCCGCTCATACGTTTTATATATTTATATATTTTATATATAGGTTTGTTTGAAAATAAAAATGCTGAACAAGTAAAACGTGCTTAAGGGCAAAAATAGTACCTCGCTTGATCCCGACGCTTTTCGTAGCCGAGTTTGGTTAAAGCACGTTGGATCTAACATCGATTTTCCCTGGAAAAGTGTTAGAATCCAAACGGGGGTGCATTTTTATTTAATAAGATTTCTCGACTCTTCAGGCCGGTAGATGAAACAAAATACCGCTTAAGAAATAAATGTGGCGTCTACTTAAATATGGCTAGCGACTAAAAATAACGCTTAAAGTAATAAAAATATGTCGGGTTAATAAATAAAAATCCTTGAATTCTTTAGAAATTGCTTTATTTACGTTTCGGATACGAAACTGGGCAGATATGAATTTTCAAAAATCTAAACGAATGAAATGTGCTTAAAGGCGAAAACAGAGCCTCGTTTGATCACGACGCACTCCGTAGCCAAGTTGGTTAAAGTACTTTGGGTCTAACGATTGTTTATCTTTAAAGTTTTTGTGATCAGTTACTCTTTTCTGCTGAGTTATTTCCAATCAGATTTGAAGCTGACTATAAAGTGTCGAATTTCTGAGCGTTTTCGGATTTTCGAAGTTATGGTCAAATGAAAAAAAAAAACAAAAAAAAACCGACATATATTTTATTATAATATATTATTTTCTTGACAATGGCCGACGGTGCGGGAGAGATCGCCCGTGGCTCATTCGATAATTTATGCGTATCTTTGATTTTGTTTTGCGACAACACACCAGAAAGCAGCAATTAATTACAAAAATCTTAAACAAAGAACATCCGTTGGTTTTCAATAAAAATTACATTCAAATATATAACATGTATTACGGCGTTCCGAAAATGATTACGGTTTAGCAGAAAGTACACAAAAAAAGGGTGTCCGTTAAATTTATCTAAATATCATTTATTTATCAAAAAGCGAGAAGCAAACGAAAGAGACAAAAATTAATTTAAAATTTTTTTTTAAAGATAATGAAAATATTAACATTCGTTTGTTCCAATTAATCTTTTAATAATGAAAGATTGCCGCTCAAATTCACATTAAACACCTCCGCAAACACACACACACACACACACACACACACACACACACACACACACACACACACACACACACACATATATATATATATATATAAATATATATATATATATATATACTAGCTTAAAAACCAAACTCCGTGCGGACTTTTAATCTAGCTGCTGCGGAGGGGTAATTAAACCTCCGGCCCAAAACTAAACAAATCTCTAGTCCAGCTTACAAAACAACAATGATGATTTTGAAGAAATAAATAAATTCCTCAATTTACTCCATGGAACTTCAAAAGCACATTTTAAATATCATTCCGGTCGAAAGACCGATTTGGGCTGAAAGTTCGATTTAGGCCGAAATTCCAATTCAGTCTGAAAATTGAATTTTTCAAATCTGTGGAACTTCAGTTAAGTTGAGTTCTTCAAATAACAAACTCTACGGAACTTCAAAACCTCACTTTAAATCTGATTCAGGCTATAAGTCCCATTCCGGCCGAAAGACCGATTTGGGCTGAAAGACCGATTTGGGCTGAAAGTTCGATTTAGGCCGAAATTCCAATTCAGCCTGAAAACTGAATTCTTCAAATCCGTGGAACTTCAGTTGAGTTGAGTTCTTCAAATCAAAAAAATCTACAGAACTTAAAACGCTCACTCCGATTCCGTGGAATTTTGAAGAAATAACAGTTTTTTGTGTGTTAATTTAAACTTAATATAAATTAAAAACATTTAAACTCGCTAATTTTTCAGTTATTCTATTATTTGAATTTTTAACTCGTCTCTCCTTATCAGGACACAAATCCCAATACTGGATGTTGAAGCACTATAAAAGTATCATGTCTATGTAGAGCAAATGTGGCCCGAATTAGAGGGATGTCCATTAAAAATAGACAGAACGTCTACTCTAATATGAATATCCTCTAAAAATAACGTTAGAAATAATAAAATCGGTCGGATAAAAAATCCATTACTTAAGAAAATTGCTTTGTTTACGTTTGGATACGAGACTGAGCAGATGAAATTTCGAGAGTTTATGAGGGATTTCGCTGAAAGGCCTTGGCAAAGCTTCTTCGTGGACGAATCGGTAAAAAGAACAACGGATCTACCGATGGTTTCGAGAGAGACGCTGGTTCGAATCCTGCCGGAAAGCGCATATTTCCCTTTAATATGATTTCTCGAATATTCAGTCCGTTAGACGATAAATAAAAAATATATACTGGGCGTCTACTCAATCATGTGCGTCCACTAAAAATCACGTTTAAATTGATCAAATCGGTCGCATTAATAAATTATAAAATACATTGCTTCTTGCATTATTTGCATTATTCGGACTCTTATCCTCATCTTCATTGTCATATTCACAACGTTTCGACCAGCCTTCTTCAGATGTTTTTGCTTTTCGAACGGAACAATTTATTTCGTCCTCCAGGGAAGATTGTTCTAGTTCCACGTGCCATGCCTCTTCGGGATGTCTCAGTTATTTCCCTTTAATTCAACTCTCCAAGTTCTGGTTCACCACTGCTATGGCCTGGTATTGAACTCACAACTCTTGGGGTCTAGTCACTGGATCTAACCAACGTCTTTAACGTCTTGGCCATGTATCCTTGAGGTTCGAAATTCCAATCACCTGAAGAAGGCCGGATCGTAAAACGGCCGAAACGTTGTGAATATGGCAATGAAGATGAGGATAACAGTCCGAATAATGTAAATAATGCAAGTAATCATAATATCTCATCTCAGAGATATAGACATATATTACTTCTTTAGAAATATTTTTGTTAGACCAAGTAGTTTCAATCTCGTCTGAGATCATACTCAGAGGTGGATAATAGACAGAGAGTCTGTTTGCAAAATCACTATCACAACGATTACTGTTACGTTAAGTTTATCTTCGCAATTTATTTTTTTCATCTCTCACTCTCTCTCTCTCTCTCTCTCTCTCTATATATATATATATATATATAAGTAAATCTAAGCTTTCTTCATTTTTGTCTATCTATCTATCTATCTATCTATCTATCTATCTATCTATCTATCTGCATATGAGGCTGCGCTGGTAATGTCTCGCAAAGTAAATATTTCATTGTCCAAACATCAACCATATTATCGGAATATTTTACTTTATTTTAATAGGAAACCAATCTTCCCTTATACTTGTAAAATCCACGAGAATCTCAAGTTGTAAAGAAATGCTTAAACGTATCGAAATTGAACTTATCCCCACACATAACAGTAAATATGTTAATTTGATCAATTTTGTGTAAATGAGAAGCAAAGAAAGAATTCGATTATATTTTAATTCTTTCATTCTTATCCGGTTTCAATCATTCTTCAAAGACAGAACAGCTACAAGTCGCACATTCAAACGCGTTATCGAAAATGTTCTGGTTTGCAGATGGCCTTTTCAACGATTTCTAATTCTTTTCTGTTTCTCTTTTGAAAGCAGAGCGACATAATAATGGCGCCTGTAAGTGTTCATATCTTCTTTCCTCTCCTCCTGCCACTAGAGAGTTCCCCCACAATTTTTTTTTTCTTTGCAATTGCAGATTTTATGATTCCCAATTGTCGTTTGGTAAATAGGCTTCCGAAAATGAAAAGAAAAGAAAAACGGACATAAAAGAAAAACAGTCAAGATTCGTCCGCAACTAAATCGATTAATGATTCCCCGGTGTCTTTCTTTTTTTTTTTTTTTTTTTAAATCGACACCGGAAAATGGAGACAGGGTGGGCGCATCTTTATTATCACCTGTAAGAGTTAGGGATTGGGCGGGGTGGGTGTTTTTCGTTTTTGTATTATTCTGAACCGTTTTTATTGTTTCAGAGTCGTGAACAAAAGAGACGAGATGAAAACCTTTATTTGCACATATAATATATATATATATATATATATATATATATATATATATATATATATATATATATATATATATAACATTTCTAATATTATTAAGTGGATACTCTGTAATTTAAATAGACGTCGAATTTTATTTATTAAACAATGCATATTGCGTCTATATATTAAATATATCTATCTATCTATATATCTATCTATCTATCTATCTATCTATCTATCTATTTTTTCTCTCCATTCTTTCTGTCTTTCTTCACCTTATTCATATCTCTCTCTCTCTCTCTCTCTCTCTATGTATCTATCTCTTCATAGGTATTTGTTACTATATGTATATTTCATATATCATATAGGCTTAAGCATTTCAGATTTGATCTTCATGGATCTATCTCTCTCTCTCTCTCTCTATATATATATATATATATATATATATATCAAATCTGTATGTGGTATGGATTA